CCCTTTGCATCCCCTGCCACTCCTCGCCAGTGGTCGCGTAGCGCAAACATTAACACGGAAATATAAGCTCCAAATTTCGTTTTGTGACCGCCAAAGAGAAACCTTAGAAAGTCGATCGCTAAAAGTTTAGGATCAAAACGAAGAATAACCAAAGAATGACAAAGTTTTGTTTAAAAGTCCTCAACATGGCGCAATTTTATTGTTTCAGAACTTTCAACTTTATTACTTCCATCACTTTTATAATCAATATATCATACATATTCTTACAAACAGGCTTTAAAATCAAAAAGGGACGAGAAGTCTATAAAAAAGCAGAATTGCATGAGGTTATAGACCCCCTCAACGATCATTACTTCACTTTAGGTTAAATGCTTGCCTGACAATCAATCAATGATAAAGAATGAAAAAATGCTTATTGGAAAGTCATTTGGCCTGCTTTGATAGAATTTTTTGCTTTAGTCATTTTTTCTACATTTGTTTGTTTGTATTCTTAACGTTGTTGGTTGCTTTTACGATAAAGGTCGCTTTCCTTTGTTTCGCTTAACGTTTTGATTGGGTGGATTTGTCCCAAGTTGCCCGGACTAAGAACTCGTACTGTAGTAATTTCTTTTAGCGTTAGATTCTCATGAGTCGGAGATGGCTTAGGATATGTCCTTTGCACTCGGTTATACCTTATGTCCGGCTCCTGGTGGATCCACTTGATCAATAACAGGGCAGATGCATGAAAAACTGACGTCAATTTGTTAAATGTTCGTTTGAACCTTCTTTAATTTTGCCCCGTATATAAGTAGCCACTCATTTCTATAAAATGACTGACGGTTATAATCATTATAGTATAGTCACTCAAAGTATGCAAGCGAATGTAAGAACAACATACTTAAAGAGCTCAGTCACGGTGTTTTGTCTTTTGCTTTTTTGGCCAAGTACAAAATCTCCTTTAAATGGAAGGAAACCTGTAAATAATAGTTCACTAAGATAGAAAAACATCAAAGAGACAATAATAAACCATAACCGAACAAGGATGGTGAGGGATGGCGAAGATTGACACGGATTACATACGAATCTGAAAAATTTAGGCTAAACTTCTCAAAATGTGCAAACCGTGACTGAGCTCCTTTAAAGAAAATTGGCCGTCTTGTTCAGTTCCTTTCCAGTTCATCTCGAGCATTCATTCCTTAGTCCTTAGTCATTTTGACTAAGTGAAATTCACTTGTATGTGTTACAATGACTGAAATCTTAAACCAAAGTGGTCAAATTTAAATTTGATTAATCGCTTTTTGAAAATCGACAACTTAAGCTGTCAGAAATATTTCATGTTATAGAATAGTTCAGTTTCCGTATTTACCTAGCTGCCCAGCTAGAGACCGAACGGGATCACAGGTGACTCGTTGCCAGCCGTCTGGAAAGACTCTAAGTACTGGAAATCGAAAGGCTGAGGACAAGTCGGTGAGGGGAGGGAGGGAGGGAGGGGGGGAAGGGGGCAGTTAGGGCCTCCTAGTATTTCCCGTCCGACTTAATGACGAAGATTTACCAGAGGGGCAGACGAGAATCTCTTTCCGTTCATTCAATACGATATCGGTTGTAGCTTGGTGGTAAATCACTACATACCTGCATCCGTCACAGTCGAAAAACAAGTAAGAGAATACAACAAATGAGCGGCTAGTTGTGCATCGAACCTATTCCTTTATTTGCTATCTTTTCCGTAGTTTTATTGACATGGCACCCATTCATGGTCTTCATGCTGGACTCCTTCTGAAATAAATGTGGTTTTTTTGCCATGACATGGCGTATCTTTGTTGAACTAGCATTTTCAAATTTGTCGTGAAACTGGAAGATTTAACAGCAGTTTTAAATTAACAAACAGAACATTTCTGTCGTTGCTGTAGTCATCAGTGGCAGGTCAAGGGATGATATTCCTTGGGGATTTCCTGAGCTTGTAGTACATGTACGCGGTGAAGGCAGACAACGCGTACCTGAAAGAAAAAAATGAAACAGAAGCACTGTTGGATTTATAGAAGAAATCTCGAGAAATTGAGTGACAGCATTTCATGAATACTCATGACTGTATCGCTCTTCAAGGTTTTGTTTTATACGAACAAAATTAAAAGCGATTATCTACCTAATTCTTAGTGTTCAGTGCTGTCTGTTACTCTGGTTAACAAAAGTAAATAAAAATTTTAATGTTTAAAATCTTGACGTTTCGGCAAAAACTTCAGACTTCATCAGGGGAAAGTGATAAGAAAATAACAAAGAACACGTTGCATTTTTTTTTCCATAAGGCGTAAATTTCAGCCATTAAGTGTTGTCCTTTAGGTACGGTTCATTTTTTTGTTGAGTTGGGGGGTGGGGGGGGGGTTGCTGGTGGGATAGGACAAAGACGCTATAAACCTGTCTGCAAACATTTCAAACTTTTCGACCATTCTTCGCAAAATATTTACTTCATCTAGGCAATGCTGAAAGTCGCAAAAATTCAGGACATATTAATATGTGTTTTTCAACTCGGTATCTTGGCTTCCCATGGGCCCAACGAGGGGGTATTTTTTCTACCAATAGCTGACCCTACTCCACGCTATATACACGCTCACAACCAACAACCAACAACCAACCACTTTGATCTGACGCTCCAAACGTCAACTTCACAAACTTGCTACGTATGGTGGTTAATTTACCTTGAACAACTTCAGGTTCATAAATACTTAATAGGTGTCTCGTCAGCCGGAAATAGCTTAAGTATTTCTACCTCCACTGGATGTGATGCTAGTTCATTGCAGGTACCCCATTTATACTCCTCGGTAGAAGCACCGAGTGAAAGGACTGCTTTCCCAAAATGCAATATAAGGAATCCGGCCAGGGCTCGAACTTTGCAAAGATAAAATAGCTCAATTACATACCAAGTAATTATATATTGAAGATGTTCGTTGCGAAGATACACACGTGTTTGACCTCCACGCGGTCCTCCAGGAACTGTGCTGGCTAAAAGGCAAAGAGATTATAAATCATAGGGTGACACTGATTAGCGTGTTTTACATCTCTGTAAGTTGTTTTTACTTGTCGATTGCATGTTGTTTAATGAAATACAAAAAAAAAATGAAGATGTTGTAGTTCAATAAAAATGCGACTTCCTGAAAACCATAAGGTTATGGCATCTTGTCTAGCACAGGTTGTAAAATGCTCACAATGGTCTCATATAGGCTAAGGGCTTTAGAGTCCCAGCAGAAAAAAAACACCCAAAAATTTACTGAGAGCCTATAACACTGAAAGCATGAATAAGGTTAATAGGTGATTAGCATTTACCAGCATCAGCATCTACTAGAATCGGCAGACAGCCTGTGACTTCTGCCATAGCATCCAAATCCCTTGAAAACCAGTGGTTCTTTTCTGGTCTATTTTTGCCTTGAAATGGCTGTCTCTGAAGAAAACATATAAATCCCTATAAATTCAATGTAAATACCAGTAAAATGAGGACCTCCCAGACGTTTTGGGAAACAAGGGAACGTGATCATTTGTTTAAAGGGAACAAGGGATATTTCTGAGGGAACAAGGAATATCTCTACCTTTAACGGAAACTTTAACAAAATATTTTAGCCAAGGGAACAATGGAATTTATTAAAAGGGGAGGCCCTCTATAATCATAACAGATTTGACACTGGTCAGAGCAATCGTAATTGTCAATATCCCAACCACCACCATAACCATCATCATCAATCTCAGCCTCATAATAGTTTAGTTGTTGTTGAGATAATTCCTAACCCAGGGAGGAGGGGGTGCTAGATATGATTGGTCTTTTCACAGTGTGATATTAGGATCCAGTAAGAACCTTTTCTCCTTGTCTGATGAAGCCAACCATCTCTACCTCTCCTTCGATCTGCAAATTCAAAAGTGCAGTAAAACTCTGTTAATACAACCAGTGTTGGTTGCAAAGACATGTAGTTGTCAAAGCACAGTACATGTGGGTCATAAACCTGGGTTCCGCTATGTCAAAGATACATCAGTGGTATAATTTCACGAGAAATACATCACCTCAATTGATTTGGTTTACATTGTACAAAGATCCTTTCTCAAGTAAGTGTGATAGCGTTGCTGTGATCATCAGCTATTTCTACCTCCTACTCACATTAAACTTCTCATTAGTTTTAAAAACAAATGGAGAACAAAAAGACTAAATATCAACCAAAAATTTAGTAATAGGTATTATTAAAAACTGAGTCATTGGACAATGCAATTCAAGAGGTTTCAATTTTGGGGGAGTTTAATCCTATAATTTGGGGATATTTTTAATAATTAAAAAACCCATTCCATTTGTGCTTGTTGAATATGAGATGATTATAGCCAACTCTATGTGCCTCATTGGCAATCTGTCATCTCATATCTAGCACATGCTTGTGGAATAATTGTTGAACTTTATTTCCTCAGAAGATTTAGGCCCAAAGTTTACTAGAAATTAAGACAAAATGAGAGCATTCTATGACTATGGATACATCCTTGAATATTAACCTGTCCCTCTTGTCTTTTCTCTGCTTTGATTTTATCCTTTGGTACCCATCCTCTGTTGACAAAGATTCTTTGCCTATTAAGAAAAAGTTAATATGAAAATCAAGACACACTTAAATGGTCACTGCAGTCGATAGTTAAATGTAGATATCCGGTTAGCAAAATGATAATTCCTCCTGGACAAGGGGATAATATTAAGTTATTTCACCTTACCCTGTATCAGTGATTTTAAATGGTGTGATGATATGCCCACCAGATTTTGGCTGCCTTCCAAAGCCCCCTCCACCATGTGCACCTTCATTCAGTGACCTTGGATATACATGGAGTTCCTCTGAATGTTCAAATGTTCCACGCAATATGACACGTCGATACTCCAGATCTTTTGATCTCAGTTTGTCAATACTATCATTGATAAGAAATGAATCCTTAATTAGGCTTTTCAAAGACAGAAGATAAAGCTGCTATTGTAATCATTCCAGCATTTAAAAGTATGAAAAATCAAATTTTGATCCATGTCTTCTTGTTTCCCAGATTTTAAATGGAAAACCTTGATGGGCAGGATGCTCAGTTAAACATTTTATGGGGAGGGTTGTCCAAACCCTTACCATTCAATATATCATTTCTGACACAAAAGGTAACCCTTCAATATACCATTCACAGAAGATTGTGCCCCTTTCACATTTTAACAGTATGCTTTCACTAACCCTAAAAAACATCCTGCAGAAATCTTTCTTCCTAAAAAAGGTCCACCAGAAAAATTCTACCACCGTAAAATTCCCCAAATGGTTAATTTAAAAAGTATTTAATCGTACCTTGTTATAACTAACACATACTTTTAAATACCTTTCTATACTTCAGCTCGTGACCCTGCCCTTTGATATACCTCTAGCGTGATAAAAGGACTCCTTTTAGGTGTAGCCCCTCCATTTCGTCCACTATAGAGAGTAACCCAGTGGCCGATCCTGACCTTGAGCTAAGGGNTTTTGTTTTGCTTGCCCTGCCGGTTTTTCTTCATTCTGTGATTTCTTCTTTTTTTACCCAAAATAAGGGGCCCCTCACCCAGATCCGCCACTGTAACCCCTAGGAGGAAGACTGAGTTCTTTAAATAGCTCTAAGATAGCAGTACTTATGATTGAGAAATTTACTTTTCTGGAAGATCTAGAATTGGGGCATTTGTTCTCGACTCAAGCTCTTTGATCAAGCCTTTCTTCCACTGTAGTCTTTTGATCTGCCATGTTCCAAGGCCAAATGTTGATATTGGGATCATCAGCAAAACATAGTGCATTTTGGATTCCTTAACTGCTGTGTCTGCTGTTGACATGGAGCAGGACTTTAGAAGGTGATGAAGTACTATTGGAAAGATAATTGAAAATGTACAGTTGGATGTCTTGGATGGTGTTATGTAATCAATAAGAAAATAATTTTGTCAAGTAGTAAACAAGTTAGAAGTATTTCTTAATTAAATCAATCTGGTTTTAAAAACAAAAACGAAAAATTGCATCACCCCTGACCTCAAACAAACTTCATTTTAAAATACCGGTGGGAAATGACACAGTCTCAACTTCAAGACTTTACATGAACCTGTTGTCTTACTTAGCTTTAATCTCCTGAGACAGTATTGTTTAATTACCTTTGGTCCTTCCAGATGAAGCAAGCATTTGACAGCGTCTGTTTATGATTCTTAAAAATCCCATATCTGCACTTTGTGGTGAGCAGTAATAAACTCAACCTACAAAATAAGCTTCATTAGTACAACAAAAGTCTTGCAAAGCACGACGTCGATTTCGGTGTTTCAGAGAAAGAAGGACTATTTGGAAATCACCAAAAGTCACCGAAATTATGTCCTGCCAAGTTACTTTTTTCACAAGGACATCTTCCGCGTTTTCAGCGTAATACGTGCAAATTTCCGTCAGGCGTTCCACTGACAAATCTACCCAGTCCCAGTCCTCTCGAACTCTACTTGAGCCTGCAAGCCTAATCGGATTACACCCAAAATCAAAGATGGCGGCAATGGCGGCTAACATCGAGAGAATTCAGCAGCAAATGCAGTCAGAACTGGAGAAGTTTAAAGCCATTCAGAAAGGTAGTTCGCTCGTTATGTGCCGCTCTAAGGTCTTTTGCGAAGTTTCCTCGAAGACACATTTTTGAGAGCATTTTTTCTGAGACTGGAAACAAACTATTACTTCCTCGCATGGGCAATGTCTGTTTTCAGTTTTACGATAAACTTAATTTATTGACAGACAGATTTGAGTCGCATTTTAAGTTCTCTGCCAGAGTCTCCCACTTCACCCATAGATTACAATCCTCTTTCCTTCTGTCATGCGTAAATTACATAGATTCAAAAATGGCGGGTAACTAAAACATATCCATGGTTGATTTTGATGGATGTGAAGTTTGTCACGGTCCCTCGACTTTATTCTTAGTTAAAATTTACAAATGAAAAGAAATGTTTACTTAATTTTACTGTAAGAGAGTAACTGATCAAGACGTTAGATTTTAATCTTAATGCGGGCTGGAAATTCTCAGCCGTTCCAAACCCCTGAAGGATAATTGACATTGGGGCATTTACAATGCTCTGACTCCAAAATATTGACTGCTTCACAAAAATGCGGAAGTGTGCTTAGAAATGTTGTGGCAAGGGAGAGGAGAGAAGGTTGAGGGAGGGGTGGAGGTGGGCAGGTTTAAAATTGACTGAGATATGAGATAAAGCTGGGTTTCACTTTTGTTCTCCTGATACATAGGGAACAATATTCTAAAAGATTTCACTTTGTTTTCCTGCCTACTAAGGTAAAGAAGATCAAATGCAGAAAAAGTATTTCGAAGTCAATGCAAACTAATGCAATACAAAGCAAAAGTGATTATTTTTTTCAGTTTGTTTAATAACCATGCTTTTCTCTTTAGATATGACAAAATTGGTCAGTACAAGACAGCAGTTAGATGCTCAGCTGAATGAGAATAAAGTTGTACAAGAGGTAACACTAGCTTGAACTGATTATTTTCATTGACATCATTAACTTGAGGTTTATGAGTTTGGACCAGTTGTTCAAGCTTGTGTCAGGGTTTGAAAAAAATGAACTAGTGATATGCTGTAAATTATGCCTTAGGTTCTCTTATGACTCGACTAGACTAGTGCATGTTCTGTGATCCTAGGCAAGAGAATGTACTCTCACAGTGTTTACCTACACCTACAATCGTGGACAAAAACAGTTGAGACGCTCTCTGAAAGAAAACCTGTTTCGTTGAACGTGAGAGTTTTTCCATCTCCAATTTTTACATTTCAACTGCCTCTCCCCTTTTTAATGTTGTAACCATGTGACAGTGTCCACAGAGCATATTTCAACATTGAAAAGGGGGAGAGGGGGGTTTGGTTATCAACAAAAAAGATGTTTTTTTTCAATTACGGAAGGACGCCAATAGAAAGCATTTGTTTTGCTCAAATGTGACAACACATTTGTCCATGATTGTAGGTATTTAAATGGGTACCTGTGAAATTATTGATGCTAGTGGAAACCCTGTGATGGACTAACATTCCATCCAGAAACCATTGGAAATACTCCTACTTACTTAATGCTTCTGAAACTGGTATAAGATCTGGCGGTATGGGACCCTTAGGACCAAGATAGACTTGACCTATTTACCTACAGTTCTTGATTAAGAAAATGACTTCTTTTATTCTGTGTTTTAGGAACTTGATGTAATAGAACCTGATGGGAACGTCTATAAACTCATGGGCCCTGTTCTAGTGAAACAAGATTTGGAAGAAGCGAAACAAACTGTTTTAAAAAGAATAGAGTACATCACTGCAGAAATGTAAGGAGTAATGACTTACCAGCATTCGTTATTCTTGTGTTTAGAGCCCTTTTCAATTTATTGTCAAAAATAATTCACGTTTGCTTTGGTTTTGCATTTCTTTGCAAAGTGATCACCTTCAAAAACTCATACCTCTTTATCCTCCAATCTGTAAAACCAAGGCCAACTGTGACTTGCTGGCACACATATATGGTCAGGGCAGGAAAATATGCTGGCAGGTCTGATTGCCTGAGGCAAGTAAATTTTGCTCCTGGGCTAGTGAAAATAGAAGTTCAGTGGCCTGGTGGGCAAGTGAAATTAGCCTCAGTGGTCTTGTGAGTCTGAACAAAAATGTCAGCTTGATAAATAATAATTTCAACTCAGAAGCTATTTCAAAACTTAAGACTGCAAGATTAGTTAACCATTAGGTTGAAAGCATGGATTAGTTAGGAATCCAAGCAAACTTTGTTCCTGTTTGTCCTCTGATTCCCATACTGGCTACCACGTCAGCAAGTAATATTTAAGTGGCGGCAAGTGAAAACTGAAATTTACTGGCCCTCTAGGTATGTGGATTTCCAATTTTTTTTCCAGCCCTGATGGTATCATTAGTAAGGAACAGAGAGAATTCTGAACACTTCCCTTCCTCATTTTCCTTGCTTCTTTACTCTCCCTTTCACTAAAATAACATTTTGATGTGTCACAGTTCTCCTTCAGACTGATTGTCACGCATTTCCTTTTATGTTTGTAATTCAACAATATTGTGATAATTCCATGAAGATAATTTCTCTTAGTTCATAGTTTCACTAATTTTTTATGTCTGAGTGTCAATATATTCCATGTTGAAATGACAAGTCACAGAGGGGGATATTTAGGGAGGGGAGGGTGGATTGGATGGCCAACCACCCTCCTTTTAGAGAAGCAAAAAATAAAGAAATAGAAAAAGATTGTGAATATTTTAACAGAAAAGGCAAACACCCTGTACAGGTACCTCACTGTAATTTTTACTTTGTGGCATTGCCAGAATTTCCCAGTGTAACAGTTTTCAATTAGGTCCCAATTCTTAAAATACAACATTTTGTGAGCATGTCCCATGGATTCTGCAGCCTCGAGGTACCAGCCATCTCCCCTTTGAAAAATTCCTGGATCTGCCCCTGTCACATGTTGATCACACTGACAATCGCATAATGCAACTCTCTTTTAATACATATCAAGGTCATTACAGACAACCCCTGTCCCTAGAAAGATTGCATGGCACCCCAAACTCCGGTAAAGAAGATTAATCTTGGCTTTGTTCTTTTCAGAAAAAGAAACGATGTTAACATCAAAGATGTGGAAAAGAAGCGAGGTGCCAGTCAAGAGATACTCACTAAGCTACAACAGCAATATCAACAGCTACTTACCAAAGCTGCTGCTAAAGCGTAATGGACTGATTTAAAAGAACATTTATATTTTGTATTTATTTCAAAGAAGCAAAACTGTTAGACTTGGAGATATATGTGTCTTGTAAAGAAGAATTTGTTGTCAGTCTGACAATCAAAGTGTCAGAAAATCTTGAGCACACAAAATCTCCTTGAACACTGTTTTTCCAAAACTACATATACTGATTTTCTACATTTCGATTTTTAATTTTTTTGGAATAGCCTGTTTTTTTGACAACTCACGGTGGAGTTGAATCACTTCATGTACTAGTTCAAATTTGTTTGAAGTTTAAAGTGCTTTGTTGATTTTCAATGCACAGCACAAATAGGTTATTATTTTGTGATACCGCACGAAATCTCTGAAACGGAGTCAAAAAGCAGTAGTTTTAGGTCACTAAGGCGTTATTTTAAATACATATTCTTTTGGTCGGATGAATCAACTTGACTCCCTCATATGTCAAAACTGGGTGATTTCCTTAAAAATAAAAAAATATATCTTTAACCAAGAGGCAACCCCACCCTCAGGTGGTTTTCAGGCTGGTCCATTTCCTTTATGTATCAAAACAGATAGTTCCCCCTCTCTGAACGCTTTTGTGGCCCCTCGCTAGCTTGTGTACATCTGCCCCCTCCCGTCTCTCCCTGACCTTTTCTTCCGGGGAAGGGGGCGGATTTACACAGACTACCCGTCACGAGAAAAATGAAACTCGTCAAGGATTCATACGGCGACAGCTGGTTTTCACTAAGTACTACGGTGGAATCTCAATGTTTCGAACCACCAAGGGAAACGGAAATTAGTTCGAAAAGTAGGGAGGTGAGAGAAACTGCTTACTGATGGAGGTTTGAAAGATCGGGGTTCCAATATGATCTTCGTAGAGAGTTGATGTAAAATATGAGCAAGGAGAAAAAAATACCCAGGTTATTCATATAATATAGTTAAAAGAAACTCAAATTCTTTTACTCGAGCCCCGTTCACACTGCACCGGAGGGAATTTGAAAGCGGAGGTTTTCCTCTGTGGACGCATCAAAAGTTTTCCGTTCACACTACGCCGGAGGAATTTAAATACGCAACAATCACCGGTCATTTTAGATATGTGTTTTTAAGAAAAACTTCGGCAAGAGGAGAATCACTTGATTACCATGACTACATCGTTTTCGAAAAGCTCAGTTTTGAAAATGTTTTCCGTCCACACGGAAACGCAAAGCCGACGTTTTCAAATTCCTCCGGTTTGAACAGCGAAAAGAGCGTTTTCGAAAGAGCTCCGTTTTCTTGATGGATTAGTGTGGACGGCCTAACCATAGAAATAACTCTCGTTTTTTAATTTTTCCGGCGTTGTGTGGACGCTGACTTAGAGCGCTGCCACTACTCAGCGCCTGCACTGATTGCGTGCAGGCCAAGGATGTAGGCATGTAGAATGGCCAGTCTGTTATTTTTAATTAACCTCAAATTCCTCGTCTCTGAACCTGGTTGGCTGATCTCTCGATAATTTAGTATTGCAGTTAAGAATGGTTAGTTGAGAGTCGGGAGTGAACTCGTTGAATTCTGTACGTCGTGCCGCGAGCTTTTGAATTGCTTGCTTCTCAATTAATTGACGAAATAGCACTTCCTTTAGGCTAAATAGCGCTCAGGTTAGCCTGAATATCACATGACTCGAAAGTGGTTAGCTCGTAATCTACGTTGACTCTTTTCCGTAGTGCCATTTTGTCATTTCACTCTTTCGTGTTTTTAAAAAACACGCCCGCTGTTTAATTCTCGTTTCTTTCTTGAGCACAGTTGTCATTACCAAAAAGGTGATTTCTCGGTGTTAACGTTATTCAGACTTTTAAACATGAAAAATGATGTCTTGCTAAAGCGATGTCAAACTGTCTGGCAAAACTTGGTGATTTGCAGGCGGATTTGTCGTTGTTTGCTTATGTGCATTTAGAGAATAACACAACCCAGTTCGGACGCCGTAACACACAGTGTTTTAAAAATGCTCAGAACACTCGATTTCCGCTTTTCGCACTTGCCCGGCCTTCGCATGTTTGGACTCGACACTAGTGTTATAAAACCTGAAAAGGCGTCATGCCATTTATAAAAACATTTTAAAACGAAAACAATACAGATGAAATAAAACAGAAAAAGTGATGCCGGTTTAGCGTCCTAACAAAGGAAGCTGTTGTTAGATACCGAAAAAATATATCACAATACGATTGTCCATTCACTAAAAATCATAGTTGATCTGCAATGACGAACGTCAAAATTGAGCGCCTTTTTTATCAAATAAAAATAAGGTAGAGCCGATTTAGGAATAGACTGCGAGCAGTCTCTCTTTTCCTCGAAAAGCGTGGGACAGAACGCAAAACAAGTGAGCGTGCGAGCGTACGTGACTGCTCGCGGCTTCGCGTATCACGCTCACGACTGCTTAGTTATGTTGCGTTCTTCTCTGCGTTCTTCCCCACGGTTTTTTCGAGCAAAAAAGACACTGCTCGCAGTCTAATTTTAGTACATTTTATAGGAAAGAAGGTAAAGCGACGCCGTGCTGTTTTAAATTAACCTTCAGTACGTGAAAAGGAAGTTATGACTCATAAGAATTGCATGGGCGGTGCACAGACTGATTTCCCATGGGTGGAGCCCAAACCCAAATGTCACACATAATAGGTGACAAAAGCTTTTATGTTGAGTGTTTGCACTCCTTTAGTAAATTATAAACGGCTTGCAAGTAAAAACTGCAATGAACTGTTGACTCGTGCGCGAAGTATGATCGGAGATTCAGGGTAATGATTTCTGCGCGAGATGTAGCTGTTTGTTCTTTTCGCTATCCGCAATGCAACGGTTAGGCTGCCGAAAAATTAGCCGGATAATTGATCGTTTTTCAAAGAATTAGCATGTGAAAAGGCTTTCGAGAAGTATATCTCAGAGAAACACCTTAAATGAATGGAACACTCAGAAAATAGGCAATGATACAAGATTCAAATTTGACGCATCTGTCAAATGTTGCCACTAAGATGAGCTCCTGTATGGACGCTTTTCAAGTGAATTTGTTGTTTATTCACTGTCGCTCGCTTACAATTTCAACAATTTTCTTTTGCATCAAGAATTTTAGTAACTTCCAACTTGAACATCTTTTGAGAGGATACCGCCCAAGCTTTTACGAGCGTATTTAATGATCACTTCCAACTGTTAAGCATGCTAAAAATTCATCACTCTCATGATCACTCCTGAATGGAACAAACTCAGATATTTTTTTATAAACAGTCACGTTTCCGGTTTGATTACCTAACGGAATTATTTAGAAATCGGAAGTTTCAAGTTAAAACGAGCTTAAACACTTTCAAGATCTCAGCCAACAAACTTAGCCAGAGCTTTTTTCATCATAGTGATTTGCTTTGACAGTATATCGGGCTTAAACTATCAGGGGTAAATTATAATCGCTTTTGATGCTTTTTAAAAAGAAATTACAAACAAAAGAATTAAGGTGAAAGCACTAAAGGAAATTCACAGACTGAAGGGAGAATCCATCACAAAAGACATTGCTTTCTTGGCTAATTAGTTGATTCAAGGTGAGATATTTGCTTTTTGAAAGGACGCGTCCAAATAAAAACCAATTAAAGTAAAACATCTTTATTGTCTTGATCCACGCTATTTAAGTTTGGTGATCATTGTCCAGATTCAGTCTTTGCACGTCCTGGCCTAAGCTTGATCGTTTACTGTGAAGACTTTTTACGCTAGTTGTGCAGCTTTTCAGAAATGGATGAGTCGATTTCGAAGTCTATTTGTAAACAAGCCGATGGTGAGATTCCGATATCCACGCTTCGATCAGACACGTGCCCCGAAACTGTGGTAGCTGAAACACATTCTTCACGGGTCCAAGTTTCAAAGCCGAACCCAGATGCGCAGGATCAGAATTCCAAATCCAAAAGACGTTGCGAGGCCCCAAGGAAGAAAGCCTCGGCAACCAACAGAACGGCCATGGAGGGCGAGGGCAGAACGATTTCAGCGCGTCTCCGAAATCAGGAACTCTGGATGACGTTTCATCGTGAGGAAACAGAAATGATTATCACTAAGGCTGGGAGGTTTGTGTTCTCGTTCAATTTGTACGTTTTAAGGGTAGAAACTAAATGGGTATAGAATGACATCCCAAAAGAATTCGTTGTTTGTTGGTGACATGACGGGTCTGGGAGGGATAAGTCAGTTTTGTTTCCGTGACTGGCCATCTCTATTTGGGACATTACAAACTCTGATTTTTACCTTGTAGAGGATAAAAGTTCGATTTTAACCTTGCACAAACAATTTCCAGCGCAAAACAACAATTATTTGCATACGAGACTGAATAAAATAAGTTTTCGTTGGTTTTTGATCTTCTTACACCAACTACAAAACCGCAACGCGCAGCTTAGAAAGCAGTTATGACTCTTAACGTTTGAAAGGAAGCTAAAACGAATTTTAAATTTTTGAAAATCCTTTGCTAACCAGAAAGCCAAAAAACAATTCCGGATTTTTTCCCTACAAAGTAGAATTTATGCAAATAGTTTTCTGTTTACTTAAAAAGTTTCTTTTCAATGGTCGTGCTCGTTTTGACTCAAACATCTCCTGGGAGGTCCGCAGAGCTGTAATTGGACAAAACACAGTTTTGAAAAAGCATGTCCTGCATATGAAATTTCGCCGTGAACAAACCTTCTTAAAAAAAGTGTTTTATTGTTTTGTCCGGTGAAACAGCTAGTAAACAAGAACACAAATAATGGTCCATTCAAATGCCTTTATCTGGAATTCAAAACTTTACAAAGAGTCTGCGAAAATAAGTTATTAAGTTGTTTTCGTCGTCGCTAAACTAAAATTCCGGAAGCATGGGCAACCGAGCCTTGTTCAAGTTTGTCTCAAGTTTGTGCGCTTTTTAATAAGCATTTGGGTGGAGTTTCAATACTTTTGTTTCGAGTTTCGAGCAGACCAGAGAAAATGGGCGGCAGGATTACTAAACATTTCATTTCGGAAATCTATAGTGGTCATTGAAATTGCGTTGTCAAATTTTCATGGTGTTGTTTGAAAGCAGTCAGATTTTTCAATATTCCCTCCTTTCTTTTGCCTGTTGGGTGCGTTTTTCACCTATTATATTTTTACGTACAGGCTAGACGAGACGTGAAATATTTCAATATTTTTCTTACATTTTACCCATATTGCTTTTCATTCCTACCTAATGTCTCTATGTTAAACGTTTTTAGGCGAATGTTCCCTGTGCCAGACTTCTGTCTCGCCGGACTCGAACCCGACCAGTACTACGGCTGTTCAGTGGAAGTCGTCGCCGTTGATCCTAACCGCTACCGCCACAAGCCCGACCAAGGGTGGGTCTCTGCTGGGAAAGGAATCCAGTTGGACCACACTCACAGCAAATACCTGCATGTCAACTCGGCCAGCTTGGGGCAGTACTGGATGGCGCAAGGAGCAACGTTTGACAAATTGAAACTGTCCAATCACATCGTTCCAAACAGTGATAACGTAAGTGATCTGCGACTCGCGTACAATCAACGTTACACTCTTCTTTTTGCATTTTATAAGAATATCGAGGTTGACATTCGCGAATTTGTAAGATGATTTTAAGACTAAACCCGAGGCTGAGATTTTGAAAAGAATATCATTTTGTGTGTTAGAAATTTTTCAATACCAACGAAACCGGAAAAATTATTTCTTTCTCTAAATGGCGGCAAAACTAACCAAAAAAAAAAACAACAACAAAAACAGCACCAGCCGTACGTTCGAGGTTAAGCATGACGTTTACGGCAAACGGCAAACGGCAAAAATGAAACTTTTGCCGTCTCTCTTCAGCTGTGTGTACAGTAGAGTGAAATTATTTATATTTGCAATGAATAGTAAGAGACGTTATTCCATTTTTGTGTGCTTTATTTACGGATTAGAAGAAACGAACTCATAATCAGAAATTATCTTTGCCGTTTGCCGTCTGCCGTTAACGTCATGCTTAACCTCTCTAATAACATTTCTGCAAGACGTTACGTGTGTCATATCGGGCTTTATTGCTTGCAGCTGGGCTCCAAAGTTACTTCAAAGCCATCAAAGTCAGTGAAACGGAAATTTCATTTATGTATATATATGTAATATATATAATCAAAGAATACTCATAAGAATATTTTTAGCCTAAAATCGGCACAAAATAACAAAATTTAGCTTGGGTCAGAAAAACAGTATACTTATATAAAAAAAAAGAGTGTATGGTATATTTGTTGTCAAATGCATTTTATGAATCAATTGAAATACTTTTTAAGCCACCATTCCCGGATACGGTTTGGGAATCCTTTTCAGTTAGTTTTTTCCTCTATATTTTCTGCTGGATTTCGTAGCATAATTGTTTATCAGCTTGCCCATATTATCTCTCGTGTTTTGTAGCGCAAGAATCGACAGCAATTCGCGCAAGAGACAATTTGTCCCATGCTCTCTTGCGCGGGTGAATTTTTCTTCGCACGCTCCCATCTAAAAGAGAACGCCGATAGAGACAAGAATACTCATTTCTGTAACAGTTTATTTAATCTTTCCTACCAGATTTGACCCCGAATGTGTTTCATTGTAGGTGGTGGTCAGCTCCATGCAAAAGTACCGGCTGAAGCTCGTTGTAACTAAACTGGGTATGGGCCATTGTGACAGATGGGTGTTCAACTTCCCTGAGACCCAGTTCATCACGGTCACTAGTTACCAGAACCCACGCATGACTCAACTGAAAATTGACAACAATCCGTTCGCCAAGGCCTTTAGAGAAGGAAAGAGGTATGCTTCTCATTACTGAATTATAATCATACTGCGAGCCGATCTTTAGATAGTAACTGAGTTTCCTAGTGTTTGATCTAATTTAATCTAATCTTCGATCTAGTGTGAATCTGTACGTGACGATTATGGACCATTGAGGACGTTTGAAAAATCGAAAACTTTCTGTTCACAATAATAAGTTTAAAAATTACCATATCGGAATAAAATAGAAAAAAAAACCACATGTTTCATATTCATCAGCAGGGGGTGCGCAATCCCCCACCCCTTGAGATGAAGTTATCTTCGTATTCGCTTTTGAAAATTTGTTTACCTCACAGGTCAGCTACGCTATTCCTTAGGGTTGCACCCCTCCTAAGAAAAATCTTGGATCCGCCGCTGATTAGTAGACGTACAGCACAAATTAAACACAAAGGACTCATAAAATCAAGCGCGTAAAAGACTTTTAGAAAGGAAAGGGGAAAAATTGTATTTGGTGGAATTTATTTGGTAGAGCTAGACGTTTAAGAAAAGATGGGAAATCCGGGGGGAGGGTGCAGAACAAAGGTAAGGTGCGGCCAATCTTTCAGGAAAATTGGGGAGGACACAAAGGTCATTTTCAGATCTAACTGAGCCAAAGTTACTCCTTGTTTTACTCTGTAAGTATAAAATTCAACACATTGTTTGACCCAAGTTATGAGCCTTCGTTCCTTTCCGCAGCACCAAATTTACACCTGACCTGGGTTGGTTTTTTTGCTTTGTTGATTTTTGTATTTTCCTGTTGTTAGGACAAACAGAAGAGACAGCGCAGGTGAGGGATCGAAATCCAAGAAAAGACGCACTCGCTTCCCTTCTCCACCGCCAATCATTCGTTACCAGACCCCCTTCATCAACTTCCTCCGCAGTCAAGACCCAACGCCGGTAAACTCAGCCTTACCACCTCCTCTACCACCACCTTTGTCACATGACTGGCCCGAGGAGCCGTGCGCGACGAGAAGCATCCCACTCCAGAACGATATGTCGTTTCCTTGGGAACGCAACGATTTGATTTCAAACCAGATGCCTTCATTTCCATCCGCCAACTCAAGTTTCAAACTGGAGCTCAACAGAACCTTTCACTGGCGTGAAAGCTTTGCGTTTCCGCCCTCGGAGCTGCCGGCGGAAGAGTTGCAGCAGCCACAGTTTCCCGCGCAATGTTGGTCAGCGCCGTCGTCAGGATTTAGCTTGTTTGAAGATGCGCAGTCGCAGATGCAGCACTATACATCACGTGATCAGTATTGGAGAGAAAGTTAGAAGCAGACCTGTGATCAGAAGTGAACGAACAATTTCAAACATTTACCAGTGTGTGGTAAAACCTCAGGCGTTTCAGCCAATAAGGATTATATATCGTTGTGCCCCGTTGCGGATGATGAATAGTGTCCCATGCTTGTATTAACTTAGTTTTTCACAAGGCGACAACGAACATTGATAAACATGACATTTAGAAACAATTTCTGTTAAACTGAGTACAAAAATCGTATATTGCTTTAATTGTTAACTCGATAGCTTTTAAAACGCAGGGTCAAAAATATTTTATTTTTCTTCTCAGGAAAATTGATAAGATAATTCCGTAAGTGTTAAGTGTAGAAGTACAAGACTATCTGAAACACGTCTCGACAAGTCGAGTTGTGAGTTCAAAAGTCAATTCCGCAGGAATTTCCGAAATAACAAATATTCTTATCTTATCGGCCGGTTGATAATGTCTTTTTTCGGTATGTATCAGCGTTCCAGTTACGAGACTTAATTAGGTTACGGGTATAAAAAGCATTTCGTTACAAATAAAAACTGAAATATGTTAACAAAAAATGTCTTCACTTGATAGCTCTTGCTAAATTCGTCACTAAACTCTATTTTTATTGCCCCGTAAATGAATGAGTACATCTAATTATATGTAGTGCTTGGTAGTTGCCTTCAGTTGATAGCTCTTATTATGCCATCACTAAACTCAGTTTTTATTGCCGTTCGACGTTCTTTAATTTAGACGTTCTGTCACACACTTGTCTGGCTTGTCTTAACAATCTTGCGTGTAGGTTGTGACTGGACTGTAAAAGACATCCCACTGCTTTTCGTGCGTGCGACTTCGCTCGGGAACCGCAGAAACGTACATACACGCAACATACACCCGTGCTTTTGTGCGAGTAATATTCCCTCCGCGCGCTGCGTTACTATTGCACTGTTTTGGTTGTTGTTGCTGTTTTTTAAACTTTGCATCAACAAGCGATTCGGTTTAAGAATTTATACACAGTTCCACGTCAATTTCTGTAAAATTTTCTGGGTTTCTGATCACAAATTACGCGCATTTTCATGTTTCTAATTCTGTAAACTCCCTGAATGTAATATCACATTTCTTTTGGCACAAGAAAAATTGCGCAACAATATGTACGTGCGGAAGAACACAATTAAATAAATCGTCTTTTTATGGCGAGGTAAGCTGAACTTTAATCGTGATACGACCCTTTACAAAGATACCATTTATTTGAATGGTGCCTCTACTCTATTGCACTAGATTTCGATTAATTTCCCATCCGAAGCAGTGTTGTTAAACATCTTGCTGCTAAGCAACAAACACCCAAGAAAGATCTCGATCTCTCGGTAATCTGTTTCTGTGTTAACATAAAATAAGCAAAGAGTTCTCAGACTGTTGCAGGAGGATTCAATTTACAACAAGCTTAAAGGAGTGACAATCCAGTCTTCTTTTCATGCATTTAAACCCATTTATTTCCTTCGCATGTTCCACACTACAGGGCCTGAAACCGCTAGAAAATAGAATGAAACTTGAAACTAACAAAATTTGCCCACGTTGCTATGAAATACCTAATTCACACAGCCTCGCAAAACTATAATAGATGTATTGAGTTTTCACGTCGTATAATTCATACTTAATCAAAGAAAAATTTCTGATTGAAATTACTTTAGGTTCTATAAGTGAGGTTGGCGGGCTATTGGCTTTAGTTGGCCTACTTAATTAAAATTATATCTGGCTGAATAAATTATCACTCAAAAAGTGCACTTAGAGTTCGGTTTACTTTAATTTTCAATCTAGTGGTCGACTGCTGAAGGCTGTGGATAACAACACAGTGGACGAAATCTAACATACCTTAGAATGCTTTAATAAGTAGCTGAATGGACTAAAAATGGCAAACATTGCCTTGTACCAAAGTAATGGGAGTCAATCACACCTCGTTTGACCTTGACTTTTTTTCATGATCATGCCTGGCGAATTATACTGAAACATCAAAACACAACAATTAAAAAGACATTTATTGGCGATCATATGTCACGCCGCGTCAAGGTTCCAAAAACCGCATTTCCATATCAGCAGAGTTGTCTTTCTCCCCGGCTGTCCAACAGAGACAGGTGCCTCAGGTATATGTTTGAGCATAGTTGGTAGTTAATTAGTTCGAGTTTAGTGTTTACTTGCGAGTTTATGTCCAGAATCAGATAACGTGGAACAGGTCAAATCCTCAAGTTGAATTACATTCCCTGGCAAAATTTCCAAGTCAGAGCATTCAAGAATCTTCTGAAAATTAAGAAACGTGACCAGTAAGTCGGCTAGGTCAAATCAGCATGCGTCTTCCAAGAAAAACGATCCTTCTTGTTTAAATATTACTGTTCACTTCGAGGAATTATCCTGCCAGCGGGTCCTATGCTTCTAAATCTCCATAGCAAAGCAGTTTTTGAGCACGAAATAAGAAGATTTTTAAAGTTTGACCAAATGCTAGAAAAAAGCAGTTAAGATTTTCCACTATCTCATGGCGTGAGTCATTTATAAATTTGGAGTGCACCTGCCAGTTTTAGAGAGCTTCTGTTTTATCGCGAGAAAATGCCACTTTTCATAACTGCTTCCTCGCAAAAATGGATTAGGGCATAATAAATGTGCGTTGTTATTGCATTTCCGTCGGGGTTTCCGTCGTGGTTTTTCGGTGGTCCAGGCTGTTGCATTTCTACTTCCGGTGAGTGTAGAATAACATTGACATCACGTGGGAGGCCATTCACAAGTGTTGCCAATATGCAGACACACAGCGAAGCTTCACACACAGACATCGCCGAGTATTTGACCTTCGCAAGCTGCGATTTTATGGTAAAATTCTAGAATGAGAAACGTGGATCTTCTGCTGTTTAAAAGTTAACAGGACACGGTATTCGGCCGTTGGAGGCTCGGACATGATGCCCGCTCAGGATCTACCGCGTTCGCAGACTCCAAATCAGGTCAGTTCACCTTGGACACCTTCAAACTATAACGTGTTCGCACATCCTAGCAAAATATTGGTTTATCTTTTAGAACACACCTTTTTAAGTATTCCCACAGGTTGAAATTGTAAAAAAGTGATGAGTTAAATCTATTATATGGTGTATTCTCATGCATTGGGCATTGTTTCGGGCGAGTTTTTATTAACTTTGTATAAAGCGGCGACAAGTACGACGTGGACCAGTTATGCTAACCGCAATAATTTGGTGTAAAAGCTCTTACAAATTTACTGCATTTATTAGTAGGTATAGGGACTTACTTTTCTTAAAAGGCGACAATATAATTTTGAAAATGGTTTCCATGGTTTAGAACGAGAGCAACACTAAAAAATTCAGGCGAAATTTCCTGCCGGAAATTCTTGCAAAATAATTTTTCCTTAACAATTTGGCTCTTCAATGTTGACTTCTGTAATTTCAATGCAAACTGTCTTGCGGGCTGTTTTGTAAAATTTCGCAATAAGATTATACCAGCAAAATGTAATATTTCGATTAACACTAAGCTCTTGATACTGTGATTGTGTTTAGAAAGTGTTCTGGAAAGAAGAGCGCGAACAAGAAGCCATTTATTCGGTGTCCTTGAAGAAAGTTCGATATCACTCAAGTGACAAGGTGTTACCTTCCCCTGATGAAGACATTTCTCACCTTCTGTGGGAAACCATCCGTATAAGAACAATTAAAGCCGGTTCCCTAGCAAAACTTGTGGAGCACCTCGCACCTTCAGCTGCTTCGTTAGAGGAGCTTGATCCTGGATATCTTATAGCTTTCTTGAGTACCTACAGAACTTTTGCCCAGGCGACAGAAATTGCAGATCTTTTGTTCGAGCGGTGAGTACTTTAGCTTAAGCTTATAGTTGAATAATTTTTTTTTTTACCAACTTGTTGTTGTTTGGTTTCTTTTCAACTGGTCTAGACAATTTCCTGCGTTTCATCGTGTACTCTTCAATTGTTATTATTCGGGATTATTTCTTTTGGTTTCGACATGTAAAATATTTCGATTTAGCGGCTTCATTCGAACATTCGCGCTTGAGAAAATTTTCTACACAAGAGATTTCAACATGGTTAGTTTACCTATGGGCTTGACTAGCCGATTTTCACAACCTGAAATGACGAATTCGAATATATATTTTTAAAGAACTGAACTCACAAACTCTCATTTTGCGTCGATACCGACAAATTAAAGTACTTTAAAAATGTTTTCTTTTATCTTGAAACTTACTGTTGACATAATTTTCCACATCATTTGTCCAAGTACAAAGAAATCACTCATCTTTGAAGTTAATGGGGCCTATTGTCCAAACTAGCGCTATTTTATGACGTCAGTTTGTTAATTACAAGGGAAGATCAAAGATGCATGATTGCCTTTATACCAAGTTCCTGAGATCTCGAAACATCAAGATAAAAAATATAATATTGACAGAGTTGGCTTGTACAGTTGAACAGCGCTAACTTGAACTCTCAAGGGAAAATTAAAAATATATTCAAAATAGCAGGGACTCCAGATAGCTGTTGAAGCATATCCAAGAGAAAACTATTGAGTTTGAGCTAGTGGGGAGTTTGGGACAACAGAGTTCAAGAAACATGTAGTGAGGGCAAGGGCCAGCTGTGTGTTCAAATTTGTCTCACACCCAGCTGGGTGTAAGGAAAACGCATTTTTCCCATTGGCTAAGCTCCATAATGTGCCAGTCCAAAAGTCATTGTTGCTAACCCCCCAAGACTTGATCTCTTACAGGGTACTTCTGTAGTTTGAATTTCCTCCAAATTTTTTCCCCAACTTCAGTTGCCATTGGGCAAGTGATGGACAGTCTGAATCTACTAGCCAGACTGGAAAATCCACCAGCACGGCTATATATCAGACAGGATTTTCTTGCAACACAGTATGAGAATTTGATATGCGGGGGCTCACTGTAACCCTAGTCTACAAATGGCAATGTTTATAAATTATTAAAAGCTTGTCAAGTAAACATTATATATTTTTTCTGCCCTTGTCCCAAAATAGTCCTTCTCAGAACTTCCTGTTTTGCCACTTCTTCCCTCTTGCCTCCCTACCATCTCTCTACAGATTAACAAGGGAAGGCTAGTTTCTGATACATAATTGCCTTGTAAAAATCAGACACTAAATGTTGGAAAGTGGATTTGACTTGAAAGATTCCCAATCAATTAATTCTTTCTCCCTGCTTGATTGTTGGGAGACCACTGCATCACATGAAATTATATAAGAGGATTTGCTTGAGTTCCATACCAGCATGACAGGTATGATTTTGTTCTGTGTGTGTGCATGAGGAAACTTTTCACACTATTTTCTCTTCACCCCATTTCCAACTTCATAATGCCATACAAGATTGTATATGTTATGCATAAGCTACATGTTGCAGTCTATGAGAAGATTTATTTCCTTCTGAAGCAAGTGGTTATTCATCATTTAAATTTAAAATAGTCTCTTTAGTTACTTGTTGAGGTCTCTTACCCCGTATTGATTACCAATTGGCAACTTGCGCCAAAATTTCAGTAGCCAAATATTTTTTTCACTTGCCATGGTGACCAAAACAGTTGCAGTTTCTTTACGTGATATGGCTTTAAAAGGNTTTTCATGATCATGCCTGGCGAATTATACTGAAACATCAAAACACAACAATTAAAAAGACATTTATTGGCGATCATATGTCACGCCGCGTCAAGGTTCCAAAAACCGCATTTCCATATCAGCAGAGTTGTCTTTCTCCCCGGCTGTCCAACAGAGACAGGTGCCTCAGGTATATGTTTGAGCATAGTTGGTAGTTAATTAGTTCGAGTTTAGTGTTTACTTGCGAGTTTATGTCCAGAATCAGATAACGTGGAACAGGTCAAATCCTCAAGTTGAATTACATTCCCTGGCAAAATTTCCAAGTCAGAGCATTCAAGAATCTTCTGAAAATTAAGAAACGTGACCAGTAAGTCGGCTAGGTCAAATCAGCATGCGTCTTCCAAGAAAAACGATCCTTCTTGTTTAAATATTACTGTTCACTTCGAGGAATTATCCTGCCAGCGGGTCCTATGCTTCTAAATCTCCATAGCAAAGCAGTTTTTGAGCACGAAATAAGAAGATTTTTAAAGTTTGACCAAATGCTAGAAAAAAGCAGTTAAGATTTTCCACTATCTCATGGCGTGAGTCATTTATAAATTTGGAGTGCACCTGCCAGTTTTAGAGAGCTTCTGTTTTATCGCGAGAAAATGCCACTTTTCATAACTGCTTCCTCGCAAAAATGGATTAGGGCATAATAAATGTGCGTTGTTATTGCATTTCCGTCGGGGTTTCCGTCGTGGTTTTTCGGTGGTCCAGGCTGTTGCATTTCTACTTCCGGTGAGTGTAGAATAACATTGACATCACGTGGGAGGCCATTCACAAGTGTTGCCAATATGCAGACACACAGCGAAGCTTCACACACAGACATCGCCGAGTATTTGACCTTCGCAAGCTGCGATTTTATGGTAAAATTCTAGAATGAGAAACGTGGATCTTCTGCTGTTTAAAAGTTAACAGGACACGGTATTCGGCCGTTGGAGGCTCGGACATGATGCCCGCTCAGGATCTACCGCGTTCGCAGACTCCAAATCAGGTCAGTTCACCTTGGACACCTTCAAACTATAACGTGTTCGCACATCCTAGCAAAATATTGGTTTATCTTTTAGAACACACCTTTTTAAGTATTCCCACAGGTTGAAATTGTAAAAAAGTGATGAGTTAAATCTATTATATGGTGTATTCTCATGCATTGGGCATTGTTTCGGGCGAGTTTTTATTAACTTTGTATAAAGCGGCGACAAGTACGACGTGGACCAGTTATGCTAACCGCAATAATTTGGTGTAAAAGCTCTTACAAATTTACTGCATTTATTAGTAGGTATAGGGACTTACTTTTCTTAAAAGGCGACAATATAATTTTGAAAATGGTTTCCATGGTTTAGAACGAGAGCAACACTAAAAAATTCAGGCGAAATTTCCTGCCGGAAATTCTTGCAAAATAATTTTTCCTTAACAATTTGGCTCTTCAATGTTGACTTCTGTAATTTCAATGCAAACTGTCTTGCGGGCTGTTTTGTAAAATTTCGCAATAAGATTATACCAGCAAAATGTAATATTTCGATTAACACTAAGCTCTTGATACTGTGATTGTGTTTAGAAAGTGTTCTGGAAAGAAGAGCGCGAACAAGAAGCCATTTATTCGGTGTCCTTGAAGAAAGTTCGATATCACTCAAGTGACAAGGTGTTACCTTCCCCTGATGAAGACATTTCTCACCTTCTGTGGGAAACCATCCGTATAAGAACAATTAAAGCCGGTTCCCTAGCAAAACTTGTGGAGCACCTCGCACCTTCAGCTGCTTCGTTAGAGGAGCTTGATCCTGGATATCTTATAGCTTTCTTGAGTACCTACAGAACTTTTGCCCAGGCGACAGAAATTGCAGATCTTTTGTTCGAGCGGTGAGTACTTTAGCTTAAGCTTATAGTTGAATAATTTTTTTTTTTACCAACTTGTTGTTGTTTGGTTTCTTTTCAACTGGTCTAGACAATTTCCTGCGTTTCATCGTGTACTCTTCAATTGTTATTATTCGGGATTATTTCTTTTGGTTTCGACATGTAAAATATTTCGATTTAGCGGCTTCATTCGAACATTCGCGCTTGAGAAAATTTTCTACACAAGAGATTTCAACATGGTTAGTTTACCTATGGGCTTGACTAGCCGATTTTCACAACCTGAAATGACGAATTCGAATATATATTTTTAAAGAACTGAACTCACAAACTCTCATTTTGCGTCGATACCGACAAATTAAAGTACTTTAAAAATGTTTTCTTTTATCTTGAAACTTACTGTTGACATAATTTTCCACATCATTTGTCCAAGTACAAAGAAATCACTCATCTTTGAAGTTAATGGGGCCTATTGTCCAAACTAGCGCTATTTTATGACGTCAGTTTGTTAATTACAAGGGAAGATCAAAGATGCATGATTGCCTTTATACCAAGTTCCTGAGATCTCGAAACATCAAGATAAAAAATATAATATTGACAGAGTTGGCTTGTACAGTTGAACAGCGCTAACTTGAACTCTCAAGGGAAAATTAAAAATATATTCAAAATAGCAGGGACTCCAGATAGCTGTTGAAGCATATCCAAGAGAAAACTATTGAGTTTGAGCTAGCGGGGAGTTTGGGACAACAGAGTTCAAGAAACATGTAGTGAGGGCAAGGGCCAGCTGTGTGTTCAAATTTGTCTCACACCCAGCTGGGTGTAAGGAAAACGCATTTTTCCCATTGGCTAAGCTCCATAATGTGCCAGTCCAAAAGTCATTGTTGCTAACCCCCCAAGACTTGATCTCTTACAGGGTACTTCTGTAGTTTGAATTTCCTCCAAATTTTTTCCCCAACTTCAGTTGCCATTGGGCAAGTGATGGACAGTCTGAATCTACTAGCCAGACTGGAAAATCCACCAGCACGGCTATATATCAGACAGGATTTTCTTGCAACACAGTATGAGAATTTGATATGCGGGGGCTCACTGTAACCCTAGTCTACAAATGGCAATGTTTATAAATTATTAAAAGCTTGTCAAGTAAACATTATATATTTTTTCTGCCCTTGTCCCAAAATAGTCCTTCTCAGAACTTCCTGTTTTGCCACTTCTTCCCTCTTGCCTCCCTACCATCTCTCTACAGATTAACAAGGGAAGGCTAGTTTCTGATACATAATTGCCTTGTAAAAATCAGACACTAAATGTTGGAAAGTGGATTTGACTTGAAAGATTCCCAATCAATTAATTCTTTCTCCCTGCTTGATTGTTGGGAGACCACTGCATCACATGAAATTATATAAGAGGATTTGCTTGAGTTCCATACCAGCATGACAGGTATGATTTTGTTCTGTGTGTGTGCATGAGGAAACTTTTCACACTATTTTCTCTTCACCCCATTTCCAACTTCATAATGCCATACAAGATTGTATATGTTATGCATAAGCTACATGTTGCAGTCTATGAGAAGATTTATTTCCTTCTGAAGCAAGTGGTTATTCATCATTTAAATTTAAAATAGTCTCTTTAGTTACTTGTTGAGGTCTCTTACCCCGTATTGATTACCAATTGGCAACTTGCGCCAAAATTTCAGTAGCCAAATATTTTTTTCACTTGCCATGGTGACCAAAACAGTTGCAGTTTCTTTACGTGATATGGCTTTAAAAGGCCCTATGGTGCTGATATGAATTACTGGAGCTAAAAAGTCAACATAGTAGTACCTCTGAGATTCGTGAGTTTAGATCAGAATGAAACAGTTAAGGAGCCATGAGAAGGAACCAGCATGAAATGCAGTACAAGTGTCTTTTTTTCCCCTTTAAACACCATCCAGCTGTGAACATAACTTTAGACAAATAGAAGGAGCGGTGCTTCTACGCACATCTTAGGCTTTGTTCACACTCGGTGCCTGAGCACTGGTGCTGGGGCACTGGTACAAAATAGTGTTGTGTTCAGACACGGTGTTCTCCAAGGACCTAAATACCATTTGGTGTCCATGTAAAAGGTCCAGACCTTGTAGTGGGGAATGGGCACTGTGCCTGAATTCTGGGTTGAATACTCGAAAAAAAGGTGGGTTCACCTAAGTGCCCAGCAAGAATCGTACCTGGGCACCATGCTCAGGTACCAAGTGTAAACATAGTTTTGAAAGGAGAAAATAATAAATTGTAATTTAGTTCGTGAGATGACATAGAAAATTATACATCTAGCACAAGACAAGATACAGATAATATACTTTATTTAACGTGGAGTTATGCTTAGCTAAACAGCTAGTTTACAGGTAATCCACGGCAAGTGTTAGTTATTTTTCTCTATAACTTTCATATTGGCAAATACTAAAAGTGGTTGCCTTCAACACCATGTTCATTGCAAGTCATCAGTATATTTTAATGCTCTCTCTGTTCAGTGATAAATTTCTTGTTACAATATCCTTACGCTATGTTTATTGGAAATTTCAGGTACCGACTTTTCTTGCGGAATGAGGCTCACGAAAAAGAGGAGGTTGTTGACAGGGTACTCAGGTAACAACTGGTCAGTTAGTCAGTAGACCAAAAACAAACAAGGAGTTCTTAACAATCTGTAGGCATGACAATTTGTATGAGTGATAAACTTAAAGGTCTCATTTGTGACCTACAAATAGCTGATAAGTATAGTGTATAGCTAGATGCAGGAGTTTCATTCATTAAGTGCCAGCCAGGCATTGTGCAAATTGACCGGCTGTGAGGATAATTTTACCTGCCTGGTTTGACCATCTAGAGGAAAGTTTTTCTTATAAAAAAAGTTCAGGTCACAAAGTTTTGCCTGCCTGTTAAAACCAGTTGCCTGCCCTCCTATTGAAAGCATTAATGAAACCCTTGGAGTGATAAATTTTATGGTCTCATTTGCAATCAACAAATTGTTGATAGTTAGTACATAGATGTACTCTTATGGACCAAAGTATGACATCATTATATGGTCAAAACAGAGTGGGGTTTCTAAATGAATGCAATGATTCTACCAGTGGTTTGACCATGCCGTGGCATCATTAACTTATTTATAACTTCCACCTTCGTGTTAAATACTGTTGCAAACTAAAATAATCTTAATTTCTGAGAACTGATGTTGATTAAATCTCTTATAAAAGAAATGCTTTTATTTCTGTTATTGGACTTATCTTCTTTGTTGAGCTAGTCTATAGATGCGTGCTGAAATCGGAATTAATTGCTGGTACCAGTGAGCCATACAGTAATTCTTATACATCTTAGCAGACTTTGTCTTTAGGCCTTAACACTTGACTGTGCAGTATCTCTTTTCTTTTTGTAGGGGTGTTGCTTCAGTGTTTAATGTATGGTTGGAGAATTTTTCATTTGATTTTGATGATTCTCCGAAGTACACAACTCTGAATAGCATACTCAACTTTGTAACATTGGAAATGAGAAGCAGTCATGGGGAAGACCTTGCTAAGAAAATCAAACTTCGGCTTGATAAGTTCCAGATCACTCCATATGAAGATGAGGGTGAGGCACTTGCTTCATTTGGAATACTACGATTTCCTCTTGTGTTCATATCAAACCTCTGATCATGCAAAGATGGCAGCTGTGAGCTCTTTTGCTCAATGCTATATACATGTACTAGCCTCCCTCAAATATTAGAGGTGCAAACGGTACCTACTAGAAGACCTTGGGTCTCAAAAACTTTCGATCTGACCTTGGTGTCTTGGAATAAGTTACAAAGACTTGTTTTTCTGTGCTTGTTGTCTCAGTCTCCAATATCTGGATTTTAATAATGATGATAATGATTCATCATCCCTAGTACTGGGAGTATACTGTAGTGCTGGTAATGTATTTTAAATAATTGCAGTATTCATGTGACAAGTAGCATGTGAAGTAAATAACTCCTATTATTGGGAGATTTATTTTTGTGCATGTTGCAGATAAATATATTACATTACCTAACTGGTAATGAAAATTGGGCGTAACATTATGCTTTTTTATATGAGACACTGAGACATAGATCTCTGTAGAACTACAGTATGTATGAATCAATACGGAAAAAGTTAGAGGATGAAACGTGTAGAGCTGAATATGAGTCTGCAGCTTTACCCAAGTTAAGTACTGCAAATGTCATTTAGATGTTATAATTTCCAAACTGACCATTCTTGTTTGATGTTTTTCTCCAGATTTTGACATTGTTACCTGTCAGCTACCTGTGTCACCTAAATTAAATCATGGTGTCAACAATGATATGTGCGCCATCCCAGAAGAGTCTGGAATGGATCTGCTCTCTATTCCAGCCAGGGAATGTGCTGCTCAGTTAACAGTGATGGATGCTGTAAGTGCCACCTTTTCTGTTTCCAACCGGTTGTGCTTAACTAACAACCTATTTATCCCCAAGGGTCAATTGTCGAGAGATACATATAGCTGTTGTCAGTGTATTTTTTGGAACAAGTGCACACTTGAGACAAAAAAATCCTAGTTATTGTGATATCACAGTGACGGAATATGCTATCAATATGAGCATGTATGTTCTGACCGGATCTGGTATTTAATCTGAAATTAAGCTGGGCATGTTATGTTGTAAATTTGTAGGACATAAATTTATGAGAAATGCAGGTGAAGCAACTATTTCACCACTGAAAAGATTATTAAGCTGTAAAAATTCTTCATTGGGATTTGAACCTGCTAAAAATAAGGGTGGAGACTAGTACCTGGCAAATCAACGGTCTCGGAAATTTAAGAACCAATTCTGAAATCTTTGAACCTTCTGTGGTGAATCACAAAGTCTCCTTTATGTGTCTTTCCTTCTGTCTTGGAATCTGAAATCGTTTAATATAAGTCAAGAAAGGATCACAGCATCTCAGTATGTCTTGGGTAGATACTGTTCATCACCCCTGCTCTACCATTGCTTGGCTGACTAAGGTGGCAATCTTGTTCCAACAGCTTCAAATTGTACATAATATTTAACTTTAAGATTCTATAGTGTACCATCTTATCTGACTGTATGTCACAGAAAGAACTATGACTAGTAGCTAACGAAGGACAACACAACAAAATTTAAAGTTTCATTGAGAACATTTTACTAATGCAGTACATGTGTTATCATTCCACATTTTAGAAGCTGTTCAAGAGAGTTATAGCTTGGCATTGTCTGGGGTGCGTATGGGGCAAGAACAAAAAGGAAGGTAAAGCTGAAACAGTTAAGGCCACAGTGGACCAGTTCAATGCTGTATCTCTCCGTGTCATCTCTTCCATACTAACATGCACAGAAAGCAAGAGTAGCGGGCCTAACATGAGGGGGAGATATATTGCACGATGGATAAATGTCGCACAGGTAATGTTAATTTTAAAAATAATGTAGGAACACTTGAGGGTATAGATTCCACCAGGCCTGAATCTGTAGTGTTAGTAGTGAAACTGTCGATGAAGACTTTAATGTGGTACTGTTTATTATGCTGATCACAGTGATTTTAAGTTTTAACTGCATGGTGGGTTGTTTTAAAAATACCTGTAATCAAAATTAAGGCAGTCTAGTTTGACAGTTTAAAGTTTTATGTCCTTTGGTAAACTACAGGTGTACCAAGGAAAATGCTAACTACAAATGTTATTGAAAAAGAAAAAATATAAAAGTAATTATGGCAAGGTGAGTAGACAGGTGCTCGAAGCGCCCAGTATTAATTAAAATTGATTTCTCATTATGTTTGATAGGAATGCAGAGATCTTAAGAACTTCTCGTCACTGAAAGCTATTTTATCAGGCTTGCAATCAGCTCCAATACACAGGCTCAAGAAATCCTGGTCTCACGTTGCTAAGTAAATGCTGCTTTTTGAATAATATTATACTAACGTGGTCATTACATTTACTGATTGCAAATGAGCAGTAGACAAGCTGACAGCACTGAGAAAAAGGATTTGGAGGGATTTGGAAGAATTTGAGGATCAATATTAACCAGAACATAATGTCAAAAATTAGGAAGGAATATAGGAGTTTATCCTCATGGTTTCAGTAGCATGAAGTGACAGTCAGTATTTCTTCTCCCCCCAGGATAAGTTCGCCGGTACCCATTTGTACACCTGGGCGTATGTAGGCACTCTGAGAATTAATATTATTGTCTTGCCCAAGAACACAACACAATGTCCCCAGCTGGGGCTTGAACCCGGACCACTTGATCCGGAATCGAGCACACTAACCATGAGTTCACCGTGCCTCCACTAGGAAGAAATATAGACTTGATTAAATGGAAAGATAAGTAAACTAATCTGACTTACAAACTGTGCTGGAGACCCTTTATAAACAGGAAGAGCAATAAGGTTTGCAATTTAATCAACCAATGTATTGAATATAATGTACAATTTACTGCTCTATTAAATAATAATTTGTCATGTCATCTTGCCAGAGACCTTCTTGCATTGTACCAAGAGCTGTCAAGCATTTTCTCGGAAGACAGCAATCAGCAGAGCAGTAGAGAACTTCTTATGAAGGTTAGTACATGTGGCAGGTGACATTTTGATAGAGTTCAAATTAACACTAAGTATGGTAATGAAAGATCTCTTCCTCTCACTCTCCCTCCATAAAAAGGGTTGTTGCACATTGTAGAAAAACCCGCCTGTTGACTTTCTGACCTCCTTTACTCTTAGCTGCATCAGACTGATTCAGACACCACATACTTTGTAAGCATAAACTTACGAAAACAATATATGGTACACAATACATCCAGTTGTGCTTTAAAGTAGCAGGAATCACAGAAAAGTATTAAGTGTTTTTGACTCTCAGTCAGTATGCAGACTGTATGGTCTGAATATGATGTCATAAATGAGAAATGGAAAAATCCTTGAAACATTTCCCTTAGCATAAGCAGTGCACCTGCAAGGTCCCAAGGATCTCACCAAATTAGTTAAGTAGCATTGTTGTTTGTTGAATGCAATTAGACAGATAATAATGGCTAGAATTATAGGCTTGCGATGCATGCACATGGCCACATGGTTTCTACATACATGTAGATCCTCTATACACATGGCCTTATCTATGATATTAAAGCTAGCCAACTTTATATTGAGTTTTAAACAAAGTCAGTAGGAACCTTATCAATACAAAAAGTAAATTAAAAAAGGAAGCTGATTAAAGGTAAGAGTTACTTGTGGTCAATTAGCAAGGCACATATCTCTTGTGGTCTCTGAAGTTGTTTGAAATATTCAACAGGAAGGAACTGCAAAGTGGGCACAATTGGATTCCTCACCAACAAAGAAATTGACAAATCTGAAGAAACGCAAGTCTAGACTTGTGGACCTGGTAAGTGGTGACATGGATGTATATCAGATGATACAACAATAGTGGTAACAGCCCTACACCTACAAAGGTAGGTAAAGTCTGCATACGAGCCAAGTGGCCCATCAAGACTGAACTTATCCCAGTTTCTGTAGCATGAGGCAACTAGGAGTATTTCTACTACCCCCTGGATGTGCTATGCTATGCTATGCTAGTCCACCACAAGGTTGCCCCACAGCATTAAATTCACTGGTACCCATTTAGACACCTGGGTGAAGAGAGACACTGTGAGAGTTAAGTGTCTTGCCCAAGAACTCAACACACACAGTGACCCTGGCTGGGGCTCAAACCAGGACTGCTTGATCCGAAGATGGGCATGCAAACCAGGAGGCCATCGCGCCTCCCACCAAACCCTACAAAGCCGTACATTATTGTCAAACTTGAGAAGTTCAGAAAATGTAGAAGATAATATATTGTGCATTCTTACAATGATGCATTGTTGTAATGCTGTTTTGTCATTACTCTATTTGATATGATTATTGTGAGAAAATTCTCTGTCTACCCTTCCACTCGTCCAGCCCATCACTGCACTTTGTAAGGGCTCGTCATCACTATCCTCATTTATTAAAAAATATTTAAGATACAACTTGGTTATCAAAACAAGGTATTGTTCTTTTTTGAAGGGAGTTATCCAAGGGACAGTTCCATATTTGGGTACATTTCTAACAGACTTAATGATGTTAGATACAGCACTTCCTGACTTTACAGAGGTGAGATGAATTGGTTTACTGTCTTCCCATAGCTTAAGTAGTACATAATAACAAACTGATGTACTATGAAGGATCCAGTGGCAACTGACAAATTGTGTTAAAAGTGAATACACTAATTTTTGAGAGGAATATCAATTCTTAAATGTTTAAACATTGAAGGGAGCTATGAATTTTAGATGTCCATTATAGCTGTGGAACAGTGAGGAGCTGGTAGGGATAAAAAATCAAATAAACAATCCGATTTACTAATATCCTTCCAAGTCTTTCTTTTCTTGATGTGTTTGCTTTCCATTCTTTGGCTGGTTGCATAGTAGTTTCTTTGAAATCTTTTTCTTGGTCAGTACATCATTGTGGAAGAAAACACTTAGTAGATGTATGTCAACAGCTTAATTAATGAGAATTTCTAGTCAAATCTCCACCAACCCCTCCCCCCCCGAAAAACAACGACAACAGAGAAAAAACAACAACAAACAAAACAACAACAACAAGAAAAAAAAAAGAAAAGAAAAAAAAGCTCTTTGGGTGTAGAAGACACTCGGTCATTGTTCTGTTATCATTGACGATTTTTTACTTCACAAACCACGATTTTGTATGTGTTGCCCTGAGTGACGCCCTGAGTAAAGTTTACGCTATAATTTTCGACTGCGGTCTTTTATGATGTCTGCTAAAAAATTTAACCTCAACCCAGTTTCACCTCGACAATACTCACTCACAAGAGTAAAGGTGGACTTACGGTACAGTAGTCGTCCTGTTGGCAAGTATGCTCTGGTGAATGGCTGAATACGTTTTGCTTTCTTTTTATGCAGGATGGCTTGATCAACTTTGAAAAGAGAAGAAAAGTAGGTGACAGTTAAAAAAATACATCTTTTGTAACTGAACACTGTGGACAATATCCTGTCTTCAACATTGTTAACTTTGAATTTTCCGATCTGCTTTCAATTTCAGGAGTTTGAAATAATTGCTCAAATAAAACTGTTACAAGAAGCTGCCAAAAACTACATAATTGTCCCTGATGAAGCATTTCGACGGTGGTTCAATAACATAGAGATCTTTTCAGAATCAGAGAGGTTAGTTAGTAATACATTGTAGTTGGTCAGTTGGCTATGCAGTGTCTTGGATTTGATTGTTTGCTATCACAATTTTGATTGTAACCAATCCATTGTTTCTCATTTTTAAATTCGTTTGGGGCATATTTCTGTTGTGTGACCGCTTTCATACACACAACACTTTCGTTTTGTTACTGTGTGACCGTCAATAAATATTTCCTTTAAACGACAGCCACAACTACCAGGAAAAAAATAAATACAAAACATGAATTCTTAGTGATGCGCGGCACTCTAATATACGTAGAGATGAAAAATTAAGCGAAGTGTAGAAAAAACGTTGAACTGTTCACGATGAAATAGAAGCATGAGTTAGGATATATAAAATCGTTATTAGATGTAAAAGTATTTCCATTTCTCTCAAATAGAGGAGTTTCTAAATGAATATGCTTTTAGTTCTAAATGCTCCACACATATGTGGCTGAAGAAAATTGCTTCAACAAATGGCACATTGAACAAGTCCACACTTCTCCTTTTTCAAACAATTCAAATATATTGTAGTAAAATTCCAGAAGAATTTACTCGTCAAGTGTGGAATTTTGAAAAATGAAAGAAATAACCTTTATCTTTAAAGTACTTTTCTTGCTTTTCTAAATTTCTGTTGTTGAAATGCGCCCGATTTATGTCTCGGATTTCAGTGATTTCTGAGTGACTCATGATGTGTTTTGTTGATCCTGTCTACAGCTATCACAAGTCGTGTAAGGTTGAAAGAATAGAACTCAAATACACGAAAAAGAGGGGTGCAACCATAAGGTTTGTATGCTTTTTTTGAGGTAAATAGATTTAATGACAAGATGGTAACAAACAGGTCTACCAACAAACAAGCCAACCTCGTTCCCAGGGTCCTCTCTCTAACTCCGGAGAGAGGACCACGAGAACAAGGTTGCAAACAGGCTTCTTTGTCACATGCTTCTTTGGAATTGTTAATAATTAACTTAAGCCTATTACTTCTGTGATCTAAATGTGAAATTGGAGTATTGGACCATCTGAAGTCCCACCCCGTTTGAGAAATCACTTACGTTACATTCTCTTGGCCCTTTTCTCTTGTCATATAGTCTTTGCAGAAAGATTGCGTGATAAGTAAGAAGGCCTTCTTTACTTGTTTTGCGAATAAATAACAGCGACAAAACGAACAAACAAAAACAAGTGCTGATGCAAGCAAGCCACGTTCGATATATCAATATTCTAACATGGCTCTAAGGCTTTCAGGACAAACTTCTATCAACGAGCAAACATTTCTTGCGTTATTTTTTTTCAGGCGGATGCTGAGTGAACCAGACATCAGCAAATTGAATTTACTGACACAGTTTGCATCACAAAGTCTTTCTCCTCCTGTCGCTGATAAACCCTGCAAGTCTAACGAGAATTCGCCAGTCATGCCTCGCCGACACGAAAGAAATGTAAGTTGTATACCGGCGACTGTAGTTTTGTCTTTCTCAGCCCATTTGTCTACTGTTTGTGTTTAATAATGCATGAGGCATTAGAATCATTTTTGTGTAGAACTTTCAGCATGGAAGCTTTCCGTATCTCATTTTGGCGAAGTTCTCATGTTTAGGAAAATATTAATCTTTGCAGATTATAATCACTACCCTGGCACCCTAAGACGTTGTGTCTTGTAATCAACCTATTCAAGTTGCTCAGTCACCTCTTTCTATTTCTCCACTGGGTTTCCAGCTGTAGTTATTAGTTCAGATTTTAATTCCGTTTAAATGATCAAGTAGTAATGGTCAGCCGCAAAGGAACACGGTTTCATAGTTAAACAACAACTTGATTGATTGATTGACAGAACTCTGGCTCGTCGTCATCGTCCACATCTTCCGGTGTATCGTCAGGATCGGACACATCAGTGACAAAAAACATCTCATTTTCCCTCCCCCGGACACGTATCTTACCCCCCACACCTCCTGATATAAAGAAAACTGGTATATCACGACGATCTCTACCGCTACGGCTTCCTCAACCGCCCAGTCCCTCTGGTAAATCGGCGCATGCTGGCTGCATTATTCGAGTGAGCATCGAGGGACTGGAAGATACAAAGTCTGGTGGAGTTATCTACAGGGGCATCTGGGTAAGCACGCCTTTGTCGTTGAACTGATAAAAAAATTAACACTCGTGTCAGTCATTTCTGGAACACCGTTTCCGCCAACTTTTGACTTTGAAAAAGAGTGTTGGCCTGGCCTGGGTCGAGAGTATCCGCGCGAGCACTTGTGGGATTATTTTGGGGTGTGAGGAACACAGAAAGTTAACCATACGCCGAGAGAATATAACGGATCAGAAGCCATCCCTGAAGATGCAATCTGAAGTTTTCTCACAAAGGTTAAATTCTCTCAGAATGTCGATTGGTCACATGTTTATTGTTGTTTCCTTTCAGCTCTGTAACTGATCCGTTACCTTCCCTCGATTTTATTAAATCCTAAGATCACGATCCCTTTGAGTCTTCTCAGTTTTTCCGTTATTGTGATATTTCATTATTTTTCGTGTACCCCAAGTCATCTTATGAGCTGTCACGCGGAGACTCTCAGTGAGCCAAACTGGGACTGAAAATTCAATTGCAAAATGACTTTAAATTGCGTGACAAGCTAAGGGAACTAGAGACCGTCACGTAATTTAAAATGATGTTTCAACAGTGTTTTCAGTCTCCAGTTATTTTAGATCGTCACGCCATCTTTCCGGGAGAGTAGTTCTTTATGGTATATGGTGTAAATGGTGTTTGCTTGTGATTGACAGCTGTCAGATGACGAGCGAACTCCCGCTGTCATTCGGACTTGTTTGGAGAAACGTGAAATGAAAGGCGATCCCAGTGAATACGCTCTTGTACAAGTTCTCAGTAGTGGAGGTAAGTCTGCAGAGTAACAAGCGATTGTCCCTTCATCTAACTTCTCTTTACAATATCGACACAGTGTTCTGAAGAATCGCAGGGCAAGTGAATATTAAGCAAAAACAATCGTGGATATTTCATATCAAATGCTCAGGACTAAAACTTGAAGATGTTCAGTGTAAACAAAATACTTGTCTAAATTTTAACATGAGGGCTTCCTTTTTTGTTCCCATTGCTATTGGTATTCGTACGTACATAATGTCCTTTCTGGAACAGCAACTGATTGAGAGAAGACGGTTTTAGACAGTAAACGTGTTGCTCAGTAGCTTGAGGTACTCTGACTCGGGGCGATTCTAACTCGTCATTCGTATGTCCGGTTATGTCTACTCAGCGACTCAAAATTCATCCTTCGGGGTAAGCCTTGTCAAACCTCTGGCATTTTCTTGTTGTTTTCACATGGGTATTCTTTTCTTCTTTGCGGATTTGGCAATTCGTTCATGATAAATTAACAAATTTGGACTTTTGAAGCGAGGCTTAGGGGTGAAATTAGCCAGTCTGAGACGAAAAGGTATCGATTGAAAGTGGTTGGGGTACATTTTGGCCACACTTTTTCGCCAAAAAAAGGGGGGGGGGGGGTTCGGGTCACCCTGCCTGGGTCCATCCGTCCGGCTCCTCCGGCACACATTTTTTCGTTGTACGGTACAATTAATAGACCAATTTTGATATATTAAAATTCAGCCTAAAACAATAGGCCTCAGCACGAGGCTCTGGGGAATAACTACAGAGTTTGTGGGGTTTATTCCCCAGAGCCTCGTGCTGAGGTCTATTGTGTTAGACTGAATTTTAATATATCGAAATTGGTCTATTGGATACTGCTATAATGAATCTCCCAATAAAAAATGACCTGTCATGTTAAGATTGTTTATCTTATGTAATTCCTTTGTATTCCAGCCGAGCTTGTCATTCCAGACAATGCGAACGTCTATTACGCCTTGAACTCAAACGTGGAATCTCTGTTATTTAAACTCAAGAAAAAGGAGAGCAAAAGTTCCAGCTGAGGTTTGTCTTATTCTGGTAAGTTCAGCAGTGGCTCCTGGGGCCTTCCCTCTCTTCCCATGTTTCGTCTGTTTCATTTCTTTCTTTATCTCCCACACTCTCATCCCCAATTCCGGTTTTTTTTCTTTAGCATAGCAATTGTTTTGTTTTCATTCGTTCTTTACAATCTGGAAGCCTAAAACTACTTTTGTACTGAAGTGATCATAATTGTCCCGTGAGGATCATTTGACAGATGTGGTGGGTTTTCTTTTTGATCGCTTGACTACGCTCTGGCAATTGCTTGAACGTATTTTCCGATTGAAAGCCAAGTTATCGGGCACAGGTCTTAATAAAAGTTTCGAGCATTGTGTATCAATAGTTGTTGGTGTCACAGATGTTGTTTCTCTTGTGAAATGATTTTCTTTTTCATTAGAAGTCTTTGACATGGCGTGAAAGGCAATTCACTGCTTGAAGTGAGTTTGTTCCTTTTTTTCTATACAGGAGATGAGGCGAAAGAACGAGAGACGTTGTCAATGAAGAACCAGGATTTCAGATCCACATGCAAATCTACTGAATTCACTGGAAAACCACCCCTGAAGTTCACTGATGTCTGAAGGGGGACCTTGCTTAGCAAAGCCGCCCAAGAATCAAGAAACAGCTGTATCAGGGAATTCTGTTAGTGTAGAACAATTTTTAAGCCTAGTGGTTTAAACGTTGCATTTCACATTTGCCGAATCTAATTCAGGAATTAAATCCTAGTGAAATCCGACATGTCACTGCACTCAAATGTAACTCTTCTCACATCTTCGACTTGGTCAGTCGAATTTTCGACAGAAGTTTGCTATTTTTTATTCGACTTTTTTAAATTCTCATTCGCACATATGAAAAGCGACGTTTGAACTCATGCTTACGTGCAGACCAATCTGCAGTTTGCTTTGTACATGTTTATGTTCTAAATTTGTCTGAGGCCCCGTCCATACTACGCTGGAGAAATTTGAAAACGAAGCTTTATTTCTATGGTCAGGCGCTCCGTCCACACTAAACCGGAGGAATTTGAAAATGCCGGCTTTGAGTTTTAGTGTGGACTAAAACATTTCGAAAATGTCACGATAATTATATGTTTAAACCTGACCCTGAAGGGTGGACTGAAGCGTTTCTGCCCCAAGTGAATGTCGCGTTTTCAGATTTCTTCGGCGTAGTGTGGCCGGGTTCTGATAGGTTGAGCACCATGTGCTGATCTCAAAATGACTATAGTTTGATTGGTCGGTCAGGTGACATGCAACACGCGTGCGTGACGTATTGGTCACGTGGAAAGGATATGCTTACGCGTGCGTAGTGAGCCAATTGTAAATAGCAAAATGTTCTGTAAATATCAAATGATCCTATATCAACCCCTGGGGGTTTGTTGTCGACAAAACTGAATGACATAAAAAAAGGCAAGAATTCTGGAGATTCCTCGAACGGAGGAAGATAATAATTTTTTTAAATTGCATTTTATGACAAGAGAAACAAATGATCAAAATTTTAGCTCAGGTATAACTCAAAATATGTTTTCAATATTTTTATATTTTTCTTCAGTTGTAAATTTGTTTCTAGATAAAATGCGAGCTCGGATGAGGAAGGTTTTCAGATTTTTATATATGAGCATATATGGATATAAGCTTTTAGCCGCAAGCCTGGTTAGCTTCTTTTTTTAACATAAAATGGAGAGGGAAAGAAATTATAATGACCCGAAACAAAGAGAGTATTAGAAACACGAAAGTAGAAGCAAGCTGGAGCGGATCTTGGGGGGCTCGGGGGATTCGGGGGAACCCCCTCAATTTTTAAAAAATGAGACATTATCATACGCTGACTTAGCCTCGGAATGCCGCAAATCCCATTTCCGAGGACCTCAATATTAAAAACTTCCGGGGAAGAATGCCCCCGGACCCCCCC